TGAACTTTATTTTATAAGAGCTGAGAACTGTTTTGAAAATATATCCCACTTCTCCCCTGGAATCCTGTGGAACATGGAAAATGTCCTGTTTGTGTTTTTATAATCCAATGAGAGAGAACATTTGGACTTGGGAATTACAGACATGAAAAGCAAAAGAAGACTCTTCTTGGTGTTTTAAGTTGAGCCTCAAAGCCAATCTTTTCTGAGTTTTTAGATGAGTCGAACAGTGGCTATGTGTTATATCTTGAAGTATTTAGTCACTTTCTTGTGATTTGAAACATTGACTACTTTTATACTGGTCACAGTGATTTCAAGACAAATTATCTCATTATTGTTTAGAACATGTCCTTTAGTTATCTGATTGTTACAGCTTAGTCAAAAATGTCGATCATCTCAAGTAATGTCCAAGTGCAATTTGTACTTTTCAGCTACTGGTGTAAGATTCACTTCCATGAAAGTCATCTTATTACCATCCGGTAACTAAGGCAGAGAGTCAAGAAACATACTGGGTTTTGTATAATTAATCACAGCAAGCATATGTTCTTCAAGTTCCATATTTTCAAAGTTTGCCAGCTTCATTCTCACTACAGGGACAAGACCTCACCCTTGAGAATGCCACACAATAGTGTTCTTCTGGGAAATTGTGTGTGTGTATGTATGTGTGTGTGTGTGTGTGTGTGTGTGTGTGTATCTATCTATCTATCTATACATACATATATATATATATATATATACATCTTGTACAAAATTTGAGAAGGAAGAAAAAAATTCACTCATAGTCCTGGCTTTCAGAAATTCAATCATAAATCCTCATATATATATATGAGGTTTTATTACATATATATATATATTTGAGGAGAGGAGCTGGGGAAAGAGGATGGGAGGGGAAAGAGGCAGGGTGGCAGGTGGAGAAAAGAGGAAAGGATAAGAAAGCACAAGAGTAGAGAGAATCTGGAGGGGAGGGAAAGGGAAAGGGAGTAGAGAATGGAAACAGAAGGAAAGGAAAATAATGGAAAAGAAAAGAAAAGGAGAAAGGAAGTTGACAAAGACCATTTTGCTTCAATGCCATCTCTATTATATAACATTTAAAATTACCCATACAATGTTATAGACTACTGTTAGGCTATAAGTCTATTGATACCTTTGTAGTAAGTAAATTTGGTGTTACTATTCTCTTTTTTAGCACATGATCAAAAATAGTTGATCTTACAGAGGAAAAGTATCTGTAGCATATTAACATTTCAAAATGTAGACAAGATATCAAGTTAAGAACTCAGTCAGCTTGGTCTTGGTTGAACTTACATGAAGAATAGAACCTAACTTGAACAGTCCTAGAAGATATTCTCCCAGCTGCCTCTTACCCAGTGCGCTAAACAAGAGTAGGCATTGGGCAGAGAAGCAGAGTTTCTGGACACCGGAAGAGTCAGTTTGAGCCCATTGTGCCTCTACAGTTTACCTCTCAGTCGTTGTGTTTCTTAGCAAGTTTAAAAGAAAAATTTGGCAGCCAGGTACATCTCTATAATCCCAGCACTGAGATGACCACGGTAGGAGGGTCACAAGTTTGAGCTCAGCCCGTGCTACATAGGGGAACACTGACTCAAACAGCAACAGCAAAATTATAACTGTAAGAAATTACACAGATGATCAGATTTACTATTTTTACCCTTTTTAAATGGCGTGTTAAGTAGTGTCAAGTCCATTGACACTGCTGAGCGAGAAATTACCAGAATTCTTTCCCCCTGAGGTTCTATACCATTGAACAACCTCCTCTTTCCTCTCTACCAGCCCTGACGGGCCACCATTCAACTTTGTGCTCTGAATCACATCACTCCAGATATCTTCTACACTGGGATGCTAGCATATTTGTATTTCATTGATTGCCAGTGTGAGAATTCTATTTCTAAGGCTGAATAATATTCTGTTCCATACATAGACCATGTTTTGCTCATCTCTTCATCTGGTGATGGATATTTAAACTTGGTTTGTGTCTGTTTTTCCAACTATGAATAATGCTGCTATGAACATGAATATGAAACTTCTTTTATAACTCGCTAAATCCAGGTGACCTCTTATTGCAATGCAAGGTACTGAGGATTGAGTAAATAATATTATGTAAAAGCATATTCTGCCTATCTTTCACGTTGGAGATGCATGCTAAGCACTAGTTACTAACAGAGAATCTTAAACATGGAACAAAATTTTATCTGAGCCAGTATATCCCAGATGGTGTTTTTTTACCAGTGATATTAAGAGAGATCATTATTAAAATGAATCACAAACATTTTTCTGATTTTTAATATTTAAGGTGAAACATTTAATTCATTTGTTCTATAGAATACCCCTAAAATGTACGTAGCATATCCAGGTCTCTGTTGTATGAGTAATAGTTCTTGGAATGAGACTAAAATGGATGTTCGTAGGCTTTAGTAATAACAGTTTTTAAAAATAGAGTAACACAAATGATACCTGACTATCTGAAAATACTGATGTGATTCTAGAAGAGCAGTCAGACTCAGTACAAACTTCTTTTATTTTTCCTCTGCTTTCCTGTTTCCTGATTTGTTTTTCTTTTGTCATTGCAAAAAGTATTCATTTCTGACTGAAGTCATCTATTTTGGGACTTGGGAAAGATAAACTTCAATTTGTAGTCATTACTTCTGCAAGCCGGGTGCTAAAACTCCAACTTTCTCTCACCTCTAAGCACACATCTTCTGGCAAAACACACCTTGCTAACAGATATTGTCTGAGCTACGCCAAATCAAACCTGTTCTATTTCTTCTTTCTTTTTTTGGGGGGGGGAATGGAGCAATCGCGGGGGCTTGAACTCAGGGCCCACCTGCTGTCCCTAAGCTCCTTGCTCAAGGATAGGGCTCTACCACTTTCAACCACAGTTCCACTTCCGTGGTTTTTTTTAATGGTGATTAATTGGAGATAAGTCTCATGTACTTTCCTGTCTTTGAACCACAGTCCTCAGATCTCAGCCTCCTGAGTAGCTAGAATAACAGGCATGAACCACCAGCACAGCCAAACCTCTTGTTTATAGTGGCTGCTCTCAGCCTTAGGGAATCACAGATGGGAGCTGCACTAACAGATGTCTTGTCCTGTCATCTGCTGAGCGCCCAGAGGAGCTCATTAGTGTTTCAACCCTGAGCAGCTGCCATTGTTCTTCCTTTCTTCTATTGTAATCACAGCCTTCACTGACCTTAACTCACTGTCACCATCAGATCTGCACATTCAATAGTGATGAGGATATTGTAAACAACAGAACTCCTTGTTTGGTGTTATTTTCCCATCTGCTATGTTTCCCTCATGGTGTGAGTTTGGAAATTCCTCTGGAGAGACCATCTTTTCTCTCATCTTCTCATTAAAATTTCAGTTAACCAAATCACATCCTGTACCAAAATCCAGACTTAGCAAGCTATGCCAGCACTGTTTGAAGCAGTAGTGATGCTGTTGACAAACGAGTAGGATGTTGGTTGCTTTGCAATCGATGACAAAATGCATGTCCTGTGTCCCATCTATGTCACTGTTGACAAATAGCATTGACCCCCATCCCACCCCCATCCCCACCTCCCACAGGTTCCCTGGCTGGTCTTCACTGGAGAGAGCAAAACTATGCATCCAGTTCACAAACCTCAGCGCGTTTCATTAATTCTGTCCTGTAATCCTCATTAACTTTCTAGTGTTCTTGCCCAATTTTTTTCAAAAATTGATTTAAACTTGGAAAACGGAGACTTTAAAATATGGACTCACTGTGGCAATTTTTCAATATGTGTGGCTTGATCCTTCATGAGAATAAATCCCAGTAAAACCTTATTTTTGATTGCCTCCCATTTTTGCTCATCTCATCATCAAAGACTGGCTTTAAAATCAGCCACACTTCATTTCGTGAAATTTTAATCTGCTCATTTGGCCATTTCTCTCGGCCTCTGTGTGCGTCAGGACAAGCCGATCTGTCGGCTGCTCTGGGTTCAGCAACAGCCATCCCTCTAGTGGTGGATGAAGGAATTTCCTTCTCTAGCAATGTTCTCAAGGGGACTCGAAATGTAATGGTTACAAACTGTCCCAACCACTATGATGAATGGGATAAGGTGGATTTTTCTCACAATTGAGGGGAAATACTCTTAACTTACACAGTGACACTAAAGGAGGATATTTTTAGGAGAAGATCACAACGTCTCAATAGCTATGTTGTGCATATGATCATATAAAACATTTATCAAAATGAACTCCAGGAAATGAAAACAAGAGGTTTTTTGTTTTTGTTTTTTTTCTTTGTTACAGTTTCTCTTTTCCTTTTGTCTTATTTGTTAGCTTATCTTTTTTGGGAGGGTAAGGGGGCACGGAAATGGCAGGACAAAGAGTGAATAAATGCAGCAGTAGTACTCACTGGATACTATGTTAAAAATGAACTGTACAACTTATGGGGGAAAGGAGTAGGGAAGGGGAAGCTGGGAGAAAACAAGGGAAGGGGTGACACTGTTCAAAAAGATATGTACTCATTACCTGATTTATAAAACTGTAACCTTTACAATAGCAATTAAAAATAAAACAAGGAGATGTAGAAGCCATGTTCAGATGGCTTACCACTGTAATCCTAGCTTCCTCCTAAGGAAGAACTGAGCATTGTGGTTTAAAGCCAGCTTGGGCAGAAAGTCTGTGAGACTAGTATCTTCAGTGAGCCACCAAAAAAGAAAACAGAAATGGAGCCAGGGCTCAAATGGTAGAGCATCAACCTTAAGCAAAAATTCTAAGGGACAGTACAACCGGGTCCTGAGTTCAAGCCACAGTACCAACATATATATTAGAATAGAATAGAAATAGAGAGAATAGAATAGTGGACACTAACTCTTCCATTACTTTTTCTAGCTAAACTTATACATGATGCATTACTGAAGAGTTCTACTTTGACAGCAGCCCTGTGTTAGCCATTTATTTGCTTCCTGTAAAATATTACTCTGTACTCAACTCGGTTCAAATTTCTCATTTTACATTTCAAGCTCCCAGTCAGCCACCAGGAAACGTTGTGTGGAATGCTACGGACACAAAAGTATTACTTAATTGGGAGCAAGTGAGAGCAATGGAGAATGAATCAGAAGTAACGGGATACAAAGTAAGTAGGTTCATTTTTATAATACTTTACTATCCTGCTTTTGGCAACATGCTTCAAGGAAAGATAGGATAAATGGATTTTTCAAAGGCTTATGCTATGGTTTCTGGTATAGGTGTGAAGCTTCAGATAAAAAAGGTATTTTCCCCCAAATATCTACTTTTTCTGTTGGCTTTTTTTTGTGATCTGTGGTACTGAGATTTGAACTCGGGGCACCTACTTGCTAGGCAAATATTCTGACACACAAACCAGACTTTTTTCTGCCTTAGTTCTTCTTCAGATAGTTTTGGTCCTCCTACCTCTGCCTCTCATGTAGCTGGGTGTACAGATATACACCCAGCTTGCTTGTTGGAATCCAAGTGTCCCTAACTCTTTTTCCTGGACTGGTTTTGAATCATGATCCTCCTGACTTCAAAGCCACCATGCCCTGTCCCTGATTTCTTCAGTTGAAAATGACATGGAGCTCATTTGGAGTTTCAGACCTGGTATTTGTTCATTGTGTCTTAGCCACCAATGCTCACCACATCACTACTTTCAATTTCCTGCGATTTTTCTGTCAGCATTCAAGGTCCACAGAGTGTGGCTCTGGACTTTTTCCACAGCCTCGCCAATAGCCACCATGGCCGAGTTCTTCTGTGAAAATTCACTGTGTCTCCAACTTCCAGGTTTCAGAAACTAGGCTTTCTGCTCTGTGCTAATCTGTAACCTCAGGCCTAGGGACAGAGCTGGAAATGTGGTTTATGTTCTGGGAATAGAGAAAGCCAGACAACAACACAAGGTAATTCAGAGTGATGAGTTTTGAGAAGGAAGTAAAGCAGCCATTCTGAGAAGTGTGTCCTCTGCTCCTGCATTTTAGGTCTTCTATAGGACTAGCAGTCAGAGTAATACACAAGTGCTGAACACAAATAAAACTTCAGCAGAACTTTTGCTGCCCATCAAAGAGGACTACATTATCGAAGTTAAAGCCACAACGGATGGAGGAGATGGTACCAGCAGTGAGCAGATCAGGATTCCAAGAATAACTAGTAAGATGGTTGATACATTCTTTCCATCGTTCATATGAGGGCTCTGAGTACCCATAGTGAGCCGATCACTGCCCCTCCCCCACCCATGTTTTTCTCCCAGCATGCCTTTCATCTGAGTGCTGAGAAGGGTTAAGCCACAGGAGCGATATTCGCAGGAGGAAGTCACTACCTGTGGTTGGAAAGCAAGAAGATGGTGACAAGAATAGAAGACATTGAAAAACTATTTGAATTATTATTTGAATTTTTTTCCTCAGTCTGAACAACACCTGAATTTGGATTATCTATTACAGAATTCCCTAAGCATTAAGCAAAGCTGATTTGAACCCCGACACTGATTTCCAACCATAAATATTGCTGGCTCACATATATGTTGTTATATTCCTGTAATCCCAGCACAGAAACCTGAATCAGGAGCATTGGAAGTTTGAGACAAGATTGGGCTATGTAGAAAGAGCCTGTCTTTAAAATAAATTCATATCTTACGATCCCAGTTGTTTTCCTCCTACAAATTATAGAAAAATTTATTAATCCAGTAGCAGATTGTTAAGTTCAGAAGCCATTTAAGGATCAAATTTTTTTAAAAAAATTTAAAAAGTAGATTGCTTATTTCAGGTTACACTAACTTTTCCTCTCAATAGATGAAACCTCTTTTCTACAGAAATTACACTTTCAGGGTAAAGGAAACAAGAGTGTCACATAAATATTTCAGTAGTAATAATGGTAGTAGAAACTTTCTGCCATTTTAAATCCCCTGTTTAGAGTTTTCAGCTTCAATTAGAATCCTTGTATTTCACATTATTCCTCTTCTGTTCTGTAGATCCTAGTGCCATAAATCCCTTTGCTCCTTGTTTTGATTGATTGACATCGGCCTAGTCTATAGTCATGGAAAACTTAAGTCTGAAACAGTTGTCTTCAGTCACAGAAAAGGAATGACCTTACCCACAGTGATGTAAGAAGGGAGGAAGTTCATCTTTCTGCTGAATCACATAGAGCCATTCTCCAACCAAACCAACCGGCCATTCTTGGTAGAGAATGGCAGCTATGTATCTCACAATTAAGCTCTTCAGTAAATGTTCGTTAAAACTATTTAGAACTACAGATCCTTTTCAAACTACATTCACTTAAGTAGAGAAAACTAGAAATTCAATTTATCATCATCATCAGTACAGGTTATAAAATAATTAACAGCTTGCCTCTTGTTGCCTGAAGTATGCAAGGTAGAGTTAACATGAGACTATTACGAAGTGGTCCTGTTGACTGACATAAATTTTATGCCTCTGAGGGTCAGACTTAATTTTTAGCATTTTGGGGCTGCTGAGTCAAATGTAGCCTTTATGCCTTACTCTACAGCTTTGCTGAGCTTGCATAGACTATGACTGCATGGAGCTGGAACCTTTATTGATTGTTCTTTTAAGAGATGATATTTTATACTGTGCACAATAATTTATCTGCATAAAATAGAAATGAGCAGATTTTTTCCCAACCCTTAATTCACTGAAGCTTTCTTTAATTAAACTTCCAAATTATCCCATCCATTGTTTGTGATCCAGTATAATTGTTTTTAAAATGATTAAGTTGTTTTTCCAATCTCAAAGTTAATACCAAAGGAACAAAGGCTGGAATCGTGTATGAGCACTTAAAACATCACTCTTTGTATAGGTATCCTTGGCAATGAGCGTATGCTACCTTGAGGATAAAACAAGAACTAATAATTAATAACTTGTGGTCCTCAGATTTACACCATTTACAAGGGAAGCATTGCTTTTGCTATATCACTCCATTTGGACTGCTGCAAAGAATAACATAGATTAGGTGTCTTAGGACTATAGAAATGTATTTGTCACAGTGTTGGAGAGTAGGAAGTACAAGACTAAGATGCCAGCAGATTCAGGGATGTTGTAAAGCCCTCATCAACACTGGGCGACAGGATTTCAGCATATGATTATGGAGGAGATTTGAACACTAAGCCCCTAGTAGCCAGGCCGCTTTTGGTATAATCCTTATTAATGAAGTGTTTATCATCTTTGACAGATATGGATGCACGAGGATCCACTTCAGCTATCTCAATGGTCCACCCTATGTCAAGTTATATGCCTATGGTACTGTTCTTTATTGTAAATGCTTTGTGGTAATAATAATTCTTTTTTACTAGATCCTGGAAGGTCCCTTGCTTAACTCCCAAAAAGAGTGCTTTCCTGAAACACAGTGATTATGCATGGTTGATTTTTTTTCAACTCTATGTTTTGAACTTTCTACTTCATTATAGGTAACATATGAATATAATAAAAAAAACACTAAGTCCTTTTAGAGGAATCTGAAATGCCTTAATATTTACTTGATTAAACCAAAGGAATTTGCATATTACATACTGCAGACTTTTGATATAAATGTTCTTAAGCTATGAGTTTAAGCACTGCCTATGATAATGACTCTCTCTCTCTCACACACACACACACACAGTTTTTACTACATTGAAAAAGCTTGTCATTTAATCCCTCCCAGTAGTACAGAATTATTGTCAGACTTAATCAGTATGGTTTTGAAATAGTGATTTTTAAATTCCCCAAGGGTGAAAATGCACTTAAGTAATTATCCTGTGGGAAAAGGATGGCATGTGACTCCAAAGAGTGTTAGAACATGCTTCCCTCATGCTGAAGAGAAGGGAGTTTGGTTTAGTGTATTCACAAATGGTTATGAGACTTTACAAACCACTTTGCTCTCTTGTTCCTCTCAGTTATCCATCTATACAATGGGGCGGTAGTAGCCATTCAATCTGTCTCTACCACTTGAAGTAATTGTTGACAGATTAAAGAGGAAATATGGAACATATTTTGTCCCCTCAAATGCAGTGTTCCTGTGTTAAATCTTGGTATAACTTTCCTTGGCTATTAGAAAGGTCTCAGGACCAGCCATATGTTTGATACTTGCATTCCATACTTTAGAATAATGCTCATATTTCCTTGAAAGACAGAAAATTGAAATGAGTGCATTACAGTCTTTCTCAAAAATTCAAACATATTTAATGAAAAAAATTGTTTCCTTCACACTGAAGAACAAACTTTTAGGCTGTATTCAATTTGGGTGGAAAAAAAATAAGAAATGACCTGAACCTCAACCCAAATATTAAACTCATGGCACACAATTATTCATTTCCAATTTCTGATTCAATTAGGGGGGGGAGTGTGCTGCCCCCTTCCTTCCCTCTCTCCCCCTCCCTCTCTCTCTCTTTCTCTCTCTCTGTCTCTGTCTCTCTCTCTCTCCCCCCCCTTTCCCCCCCCGCCCCTTCTCTCAATGTCAGTGATGGATTTTTAATGAAACCGCACTGTCTATCTCAGTGAGTCAGGCAGATGTTTTAGTGCTTGAGTTAAATTTGTAATAGAACCATGGCAGTACTGCTGACTTTGAAGTGTGTGACTCAGTTTTTCAATATGTGGTTTTCAAAGATTGGTGGTGATATGACTGCCTAGCAGTTGTAGCGAGTGCATGAAAATCGGCAGATTGCGTGTTAGACATTCAAAAATCAATTTTTTTACCTCTTTCGTACCAATTTCATGTTTTGCTGAAACTTGTTCATATTTCTGAACATATCAGAATTTCAAACCAATGGTTTAGCTACCAAGAAAGATTAAAAATTAGCAAAATTCTGATCTCCCCATGAAGTACCACTTTAGAGATTCCATTTACGTTAAAGTCATTATAAAGGAAAGAGAAAAATTTTATAACTTTCTCTAGAAGTTCTGTAATATACTGTATATATCGAGAAATACAATCTGAATGACTAGCAACTTTCGTATGATCATTGTTATTTCTGGTCAAAAGTGGGGAAACACTTTCTCCAATATTTGTAATTTACATGTAATGGAGTTGTATCTTTCTATTACCTAGTAATTCCTGTCATTTGTTGCTATAGTCACCATTTCCAAGATGATTGTGTTCTCATTTGATGATATTTCTAGCACTATATCTCCATGAGATATGCACATTGTTTCATATTGAAAAGTATAAAATTTATCTTTAAATCCCTGTGTGTGTATCCTATGGTTATTTGTATGTATGATTTTCTATTATTCAAATAAAATTTATATCAATCAAATATTTCTGCATAGTTAATTGTGGTGTAATCAAAGAACCTCTCCAGGGAACACAGGAGAACAGTGCATTCATCACACTCATTCTGGCCTTTCTTCCATTTAGCAGCCAGCATTGAAACTTGCTGTCTCTTGTCAAGATATATAAAACATTATCTTTATACCCTACTGACTCAGGAAAATGGGAAGTTTGAGACAAGGACTTCCACAAACAGATGTTACAGTCTGTATAAAGAAAGGAAGTAAGAGAAACAGAAATTCCACATTATAATGTAGCCCCATTTGCTACCAACTTTATTTGGTCCTGAGTGAGTGGACATTCCCACATTTTTCCCCAGTGTGATTTTCTTGTTTGGGTTTTTGTCAGTCAGGGCTGGACACTATCCCAGAGCTTTTTACCTCAAGGCTAGCACTCTATGACTTTGAGCCAATTTTCTGGTGCTTAATTGGAGATGAGTCTGACAGTCTGTTGCCTAGACTGTCTTTGAACCTCAATCCTCAGCTCTCAGCCTCCTGAGTAGTTAGGATTACAGGCATGAGCCACTGACATTGGTGTTTTGTTTTGTTTTGTTTTTTTAATTGATTCTTATTTGCACCATTCTTCATAGAACTCCTTGGTATCAGTGTTATAGACTTGATTTTCAGTACTCCTTGTGGTGTATTATATTCTACGTATTTTAAAAATGTACTAGAAAAACACATGGTTTTAATTAGTAAACAAATTTAAATGTTATTGTGGATGTAAGGGAAATGGGAAAAAATAATTCAGTCCTTTTCTTACCTTAGAATTGGATTTGTGTAGAGGTAGAAGAATTAAACAAGACGAGTGTAGGATCACGCATGTGATCTGCCTGTGAGTGAGGGTTTGTGTGTAAGTGGTGTGAATGTTTAAGGGATTGATAGACAATTAGTATTCCCTAATGAATTGGGAAAACCTGGAGAATGTATAGAAATAGATTCTACCATCAAACAGCCCTAGTGCATGAGGCTGTTGGGCACCCAGCAGAGGAATGTGGCTCAAGTGGTAGAGCACCTGCCTAGCAAGGACAAGGCCCTGAGTTCAAATTACAGCCCCAACCCTAACAAAAACAGTGATGGATGAGGCGATATCAAGGCCACGTTTGAGCCTTAACATTCTCCATCTTAATAGCATCTTCACTAGTTACTGGGCTTGTCATTTTGCTTCAGTCCCTTTGTTTCTCTAAGCCTGTTTCCCTCTCTGTCAAAAGGAGAGCACAGAAGAAATACCCTCCTGAGTGACGCTAAACTCCCATGTGTAGACATGTCCTCATTTATGAACCAAAGACTGGTGATATCAGAATACAAGGCTGGGAGCTAATAAGTGAGGGACGGCTGTGTGTCTTGCTCGTGTCATTATTCCTCCTGTCTGTAGGGAATAATAATGCTGCAAAATAAGACATTTGTCTAAAGAAAATTCTGCTTTAATATTTTTATTACATTTTACTGAAAAGAAAGCTAGGATTCTGAGTGTTCCTAAAATAATCAGGTTAATTAATTCTGCAATTATTTTTCATAGAAATATGACATTGACAGTGTTCAAAATCATATTGCCTGATTGTAAGCTAATCATTTATTTTTGCTTAGTTAATGTACTATAAATGCATTTATTAGGATCTATTAAGCCATTGTTTTAGTAGTACTAAAGTTGGAACTTAGGTCCTTGCAGTTTTCTGTACATCTTTAATTGTAAAAATGCTGTACAGAAGGGTTACAGTTACATGAGCAAGGTAATGAGTACATTTCCTATTGAGCATTGTTGCCTCCTCCTTTGTTTTCCTCCTACCATCCCTTCCCTCCCACCTCCACAACTACCCCTCCCCCCCATTCCACCCAAAGTTGTAAAGTTTCAATATAGTGTCTTGTACATCTCATGTTACAATGGATCAACCTATATCCTTATTTAAGCATCTTGTTTTTTCCCTTCCCTGCCCTGAATTAGAGAAGTGTATATACAAGATGCAGGGCACTGACATCCAATACAGTGACAACAGGGGTTATACCGTGGGGGAGGTCCTTGTATTTTTTAAGCAAGCATTCCACCACTGAAAGCCTGCTTCACACAAGGTCTTGCATTTACACCTGGGCTAGCCTGGACAGATAGCCTCCTATTTACTCTTCCATGGCAGCTGGATGACAGGCACACACCATTATGCACCATTTTACTGATTGAGGAGAAGTCTCTAGAACATTTACTCAGGCTTGCCTAGAACACAGTCTTCCTAATCTCTGCCTCTGGAATTTCGAAGATTGCAGGTGTGAGCCACTATTATGGCTACTGTTAAGCCTATTACACAGGAAACAGGGTGAGAGATATTTAGGCAAATGCACAGGGTCATTTTGTGAGGTTCATAGTAAAAATCAGATTCAGGGCAGTGGACGTCAAGCCATAAGCTCTGATAATTAGGCCCTTCTTTTATCCCTCTTGAAATCAAACCCCTGAAAACTAGAGATTCTTAGTAAACATGCCAGATAGGAATTTATAAGGTGCTTTGCTCTTCTCTATTGATTATAATTCAAATTGGGGAACCTGAGAATCCTTCATGTTCATTAGACAGGTTCTATTTCTTCTGAAGATAGCTTGGTCTGGTTCTGAGTAATTTTGCCATTTTCAGTGAAAGCCAGCCAATAGAATACAGTGCCACAAAGAAAATGCAAAAGTGACAGGGATGTCTCATAGTCTGGTTTTTTTTTTTTCAATTAAAATCCCCCCTGTCGTGTCATTCTTACCATGCCAGCTATTTTATGGAAAATTAATCTTAATTGGGTTCCTATTTCTGAAGTATTTTTACCCTTCTTTAAAATATGAAAATTGCACTGCTGCTCATTGTAATTTGGATATACTTCAGTAAATATTAGAGGCAAAACAAACCCACAACAACAATTATGAAATTAGCAATTAGTAAATTATACTATTCTCTGGAAAGAAAATATGTAAGCAGATTGGACTGTAGTTCATTTAAATTGTTAAGTTTTTCTGTTCTGGTTATTTAAACCCAGTGTCCTAATTTAACATACCTTGCTTTACATGTAGGTAATAATTACCTCTTGAATTTACACAGAGAATTAACATGATGATAAGAGAAAGCAGAGAAAGAATCCTTCTGTTAATTTGTCAGTTATTCTTTCCTTGTGCTTATTGGAGAGCTTAATAATTCTGCCTTATTAATACTTTGGGGAATGGAGTTAGGTCCTATGTAATTGAATATAATGTGAGAAATCCAGAGAAAACAGAGACAAATGAGACGGTGGGCAAATCAGCAGACTTCCTCTGTCATGAAGCCATTGAAAATGATGGACACAGAGTTAGTGGCAAAGGTGAATCATGGTGGCTGATGAGGGAGTGATGTATCTGAATGTGATGGTGTACTGGCATTTCCAGGGCAGCCTGAAGTGAATGGCTTCCCAACCAAGACAGCATTTAAAGATGATGCAGAGCCGGGCGCCGGTGGCTCATGCCTGTAATCCTAGCTGCTCAGGAGGCTGAGATCTAAGGATCCTGGTTCAAAACCAGCCTGGGAAGGAAAGTCTGTGAGACTCTTATCTCCAATAAACCACTAGAAAACCAGAAGTGGCGCTGTGGCTGGCTCAAGTGGTAGAGCGCTTACCTTGAGCTGAAGAACGCAGGGGCAGTGCCCAAGCTCAGAGTTCAAGCCCCACCACCAACAAAAAAAAAAAAAAGAAAGAAAAAACAAAAGATGATGTAGGTAGATGCCTATTGGGCTGCTCACCTCTGTCTTCT